GCCCCTGCTGTCTGGGCATCACTGGAGTAATTTGCAAGTAGAATGAGCTCATGGATTGGGTGGAGTGATGGTCAAAGCCCATTTCCTGATCTGGGTGACCATGTTGTATGTAAGATAATGTCCTTCTTTGCAGAAAACACAAGCTACGTATTTGGGGGTGCAGTTTACTTTCAAATGCCTCAAGGGAAAAACAGTTCTCTGCACCATTCTTGAAACCTTCCTATAAACTTAAGTCCTTAAAAATAAATACAGGATCAGGTGGCTCTGTGTCTCTGGGGAAGGCCTTGTGGTACTAAGACACAGGCTGGGGTACAGCTTGTCGTCATATGCCTTACTCCAAATTTTGCCAGTTTCCACCTATTCCTGGTGTTGGGAGCAATGCTAAGTGACCAGCGTTTGCTCCGTCTTAGAAATGGGAGCCATTCAGGAAGCTTGCAGGAAGCAGGAGTTAGCTCTGCACCTGTGCCAGCAGGAGAACCTGAGGCAGTGAGCCCGGAGGAGCCAGGGAGCTCTGTGTCTGCTGGAGAATTCTCTTGTTTGAGCTCAGTCTTTGGTTCTATCCAGGCCTTCCACTGACCAGGAGAGGCCCACTCACACTGGGAGGGCCATTTGCTACACTCACAGACCACTGATGTAAACAAATATCAGAAACAAATATCTAGGAACCCCATGGTCCAGCCAAGTTGACACACAAGATTAACTACTTGGCAGGTCAAGACATTGCTGAACAGAAAGACCAAAGGAAAAGCAGAACAATGTTTATTGGGGCCAATTTTCATGTTAACATTTCATTACTTCAATGCAAATGAGGCAAATTGCCTGAACTTCAGAAGTGCAATGATGTATTCCAACACTCAGATGCAGCTCCCATGCAATACCATTGTTAGACACAGTAGAGGGACACAAAAGCACAAATCCACTGAACCTTGGCTTAAAACTCAATGACCAGCGGGCTGGAGTGTGGCCCAGTGGCAGAGCATTAGCGATCAGGCCTGGGTTCCATACCCAGCACTGCAAAAAAAAAAAAAAAAAAAGTAGCGACTAGTGCTTTGAAATTTGAAGAGCAAGGCATGTCCCAACACCAACAACAGCATTTCGAAGAGGAAGCAAGAGCTCCTAATTATCTGATGGTGATGACGGGAGGTGACTATGAAAGGAGGATGGTGGAGATCTGCAGGAGGGGAGGGGAAAGGAAAGGACACTGATGCTGAGGAGGGAAGACGATCAAAATACACAAGTGTGTGTGACGACAGCAAAATGGAACCCGCCATTGTTTGAAAAAGCAGGGAAGAGAGAGGGGGGGATCCAGCAATGCAATGGAGGGGTTGAACTTGTTCAAAGCACGCTGTACACACGTACAGAATTATCCCAATAAACCCCTGGTATTATCAATGCTACTAATTCAAAATATAACAAAACTATTTAAAAAAATAAGTCCTAATTTAAAAAAAAAATTTTAGCAGCACTGGGGTTTGAACTCAGGGCCTCACACCTACTAGGCAGGCGCTCTACCATTTCACCCCACTAACCCTTTTTGGGGGTTATTTTTGAGATAGGGTCTCTCAAACCCTTTGCTGGGGCTGTCTTCAAACCACGATCCTCCTAATCTCTGCCTACTGAGTAGCTATGATTACAGGCGTGAGCCACCATGTCCGGGTAGGAAGTCCTAATTTTATATTCAACAAATCAGGCTCACCTGACTAAGACCCTAACTGCCATGGCCTGCTTGTTGGTTTCCTCTTTAAAAGTCCTGACCATATTTCGTTTATCTCAGACTTAAGAAAATTGTAACTGTGACAAAGCGCACTGGGCATCATCAGTGTTAGGAAAACGCCGCACACCGCACACAAAGGAGGCTCAGGAGAGGTTTCTCATGTCCAGAGTTTCATAAGCAGGCTGGCTGGCCGAGAAGAAAAAGTGTGCAGCAGCTTCTCTCGGCGGGTCTGGCCTTAAGTAGCATTTGGGAGAAAGCAAGGGCAAGGGACAGGCAAAGAGAGGTGGCAAGAGATAAGGGACAGTGGGGCTTTGTTCTGCAAGGGATGAGACCAGCTGAGGCTCAGGCTGTAGAACGGTGGCAAGGGGCAGTTCTTATCAATCAGGAAGCCATTTTGCTTCAAAAATGTCTCAGATCGTCTTCAAGGCTCTTGTGCTCGGAATACAAAATTTCCTTGATTACCAAGTTTTCATGAGAAGTCTGCCCCATTCAATTCTCAGTTCTGGAGGCCCAGAGGTCTGCAGACCCTGCTCTGAGGAGGGGACCTGGGACTCTCAGCTTTGCAAGCCGATGAGATGTGGTGTCTTTACTTCCTGCTCTGAAGAACTGTGGAGAAAAAGGTGTCCTCACAGCCCCAATTCACCCTAACCAAAACCATGATGCAGTAACAGCTGCAAGTCCCCAGGGGACTCAGGAGTCCATGTCTTGCTGCCTTCTCAGTCATCATTTGCTGAGGGTCTGAGAAACCCCATTCAGGTGACACTCAAGTTCATCACGGCGCCAAGCACCTGAATACTGGAACATCGTGTCATTGGCTGAATTTCCCTTTTTAACTACCACAGTGAATTTAATGTGCCCTGTCCGTCTTTGGTCATCACTGCCTGTCTTCCCTCCACTCAGAGTAAATTGACTGAGCACCTGCAGCCTGTGTGGCCGTGCTGAGTGCTCTGGCAGCTCCTGGGTTATTAGTGGCACAGGTGGTGGCACCAGCCACCAGCAGTGTGGGCCAGGCTGGTCCAATGTCTTTGCTGATAAAAACAGTCCAATACCACTCTGCACTCTTTCCAACACCAAAACCAAACAGACGTATGAGATACCTTGCTCCCTGAAATAAAGACATCGTGAGTCAGGTAAATCTGCACAGGTCTGAAATGTTAAAAGCGAGTCAGCATAAAGTCAATACAGCATTTGATAGCTCTCAAACTTTCAATATCACTGGAGCCTGAAATGCTAATTCTGTGCTTTTTTGTCGAAAGTAAATGGAAGACTCATTACAGTCACTCAAAAAAAAAAAACCCAGAATTTCCACCACAAAAATTACATAAAATTGCAGGCTTTCTCCTTGCCTGTCAAAGATTTTAGAACAAGAACATCCCAGCTCCTGCCCGTTCAAGGGGAAATGTAGCTCACCAACTTACCTTCTTACAAAACTGATTAAAATCTGGGATCCTGTCCTGGCAGGTTCATGACCTAAGTCTTGATAGAAAAGGCAATATTTTTACCTCCACCTGTTTCTTAGCCTCGTGCAGGATGAATTATAGTCTGTACAGCTGAATGTTGGAAAAATATTCACAGTTCAATGCTCAATTGTCTTCGGCCTTAAATTCTTTTACTTCCTGACCCATAGTTCACAGAAAAACCAAATGTTTGTAGAGACATGAGCTCTCTGTATTGGATGTGCTGAGCAGCCATGGGTCATCTCCCTCTTTCCTCAGTAATGAGCTGTGTTTGGTTTCATGCTCACCCATGTGTCTCTGACACTGAGGGACTTCAGGAGCCCAGAGATGAGCTGGACAAATGCCAGCCCTCTGTGTTGCCGCCTCTGGGTTCCTGTTCACAACACTCTTCTCTACAAAGCTGCCCTGAGTGCTCCCTCTGACCTCCCCCACCAGACAGACAGCCCATTTTGTCTCATTATTGCCTGTCACCCTCCCCACTAAACCATGGTCTCCACAAGGACAATTCTGTCCATCAACCCCTGCTCCACACCAAGAGCCTCGTCAGTGGAGGTCTCAACATCACGAGCTGGATATGGGGCCTAAGAAAACTGAATAGTTGGAGACAAGCCAGGTGTTCAAGCCCAGTGGGGACCTGCCCACCTACAGGCCCAGGAGTGTTGCAGGCCACCCACAGGAAGGCAGGTCTGGGCAACAGAGCAGAACCAGCTGGAGCCTGCCCTGTCAAGTTCACAGTGAGCAGGACGTGGTCAGAATTGCTGAATTTGAAAAATGCCCAGGTCTCACTTGTTCAGTGTGAAAAACGCATGCTTAGAACTGGCTTCTGCTTCCCTGTCTGCAGCTCATCCGAGCACTGTGTACCTACCTGATTTGACCCAGGCTTTCAAAACCTTATTTGCTGCCTGCTGCTACACACAAGATCAAGACAGAAATGCCAATGGGAAATCTTGAGCACTGAGTGAGTTGGGGGGCTGTGAGTGGCTGTACCCTAACACACATTTCATGGAGTACAGCTGCCATAGAGCCTTCAAGAAAGGCATGAGGCTGACAGACTCATCCCACGTGACCCAAGCTTTGCTCCGTGGCCAACTTCCCAGCATGCCATCCTGTTTGAGGTGCAGGCTACAAAACAAGAATCGCTCAGACTTAACTTCTTTAAAGTCACAGGGCAGAGTCTAGAGCAAGTCCTTCCCTCCTTGACCCTTAGGCTTCAAAGTCAACACAATCCAGAGACTGTTCAAGTTCATGGGCCCCTCTGCAAACACTGAAACCAGACCACTAGCTTTAAGCCATGTACTTGCAAAACAAGTGGAAAGGAACAGCAGCCACCTTCTATATGACCCCCAGGCCTACGGTTCTCTGGTGAAGGACACTAGGGGAGATGGTGCCAGTGTGACAGGAGATGAAGCCCCTCACCCATGTTTCCACACGGCCCCTCCAACACCTCAATCAAACCCCTGGGCTGGCAAGGTAAGGGGGACACCAGAAACAAAGGGACGAGTCCAGGTGCAGAGACAGAGACAATGTGGGGACATGGACCCCCAGCACACAGGGCAGGGCCCCCCTCCTCTAGCACAGAAAATCCCAGACACTGCACCGAATGGCACTCACTCCCTCCCTGAGCTGGGAAGTGCCTGATTTCCTGTGTCTCCACCACCTCGCTGTCCTGCTGCCACGCCGTCCCTCGTGCCTGCGGAATCTGTATCTAGTCTGTGTGCTTCACCCTTTCCAAGTCATTGATTTTTTTAAAAAATATATGATTATTTGAAAACATGGGTGTTCCCAGGATTAAATATTTTTAAATGCTTAACAGAATTCCAATGCACACTGTTTTCTTATGTTTTATTCGTTAAACATAAGACATAGGACATTAACCTTATTAACATAAACAGGAAGAATATTTTAAAAGAACAGAGATGAGGTGGAACGTGTGGTGAGAGGCAGCTTTAGTAACACAGGCACAGGAAGCCACCCACTGCATTGCCACCCTCACTGCACAGGTGAAATCCAGACTCAGGCCCACAAGGAAGAGCTTCACCTTCTGAATATGCTACCTAAGGATGGAGCCCTCTTAGCAGCAGCTTGGATCAGGCCACTTTCTGGTAGGAAATGAGGCCTGACATAAACTCCCCTGCAGGCCAGGCAGCTGGCAGGAAGAAGCCCGGAGGGGCACCTACTGATTGGTTGCAGGTGAAAATCAACTCAGACACTGAAGAAAAAAAAGCAAAACACACTGTGAAAGGGCTTTGGAGTTGGTTTTAGGAAGGAGGGATTGTGACTGTCTCCTGCTGTGTCAAACAGAGTATTTCCAAAACGTGGGCATCAATGCCGGGCCTTTGAGGGCGGGGGGTAGAAGATCGGGCCGTCATCACACACCATCATCCCCTGCACGGCAGCTCCCCTGCTGCTCTTCTGCTGCTCTGCTGGCTCCGTGCAGTTTCGCAAATGCAGGTCCTCCTTGGTAAAGCACAGCTCTATCTGACCGATGGTCTGTACCTGCTCTCCCTAAAAGCAAAAAGGGACATTCAGGATTCAGACCTTGGACTGTCACAGTTTTAAGATCAGGATGCTTCAAAACTGACTTGAGGGTACCAAAAGCTCACATCTGAGACTCCAGACTCTGGGAGCAAACCCCTCTACAAAGAGAAAGCTGGCAAGCACAGGGAGTGGGCGACTGAGGCTGCTTGGCCATGGCCAGTGTGGTGTAGCCCGAGCACAAGTCTCCCTGCCAGCATGGCAGCCCTGAGTGAAGGGCTTTCAGCCTGGGAACAAACTGCAAAGCATCTACAAGGACGTATGCAGACCCCACTGCACACACACACACACCAGGATACTGGGAGAGGAAATGACTTCTTTAGGAAAATGGTAACGACTGCCGAAAGAATCCTTATCAGCTGAAAAATGAAACTACAATTGTTTATAAATTGGACAGATAGATAACTGCAATGAAAATGATTTAAGACTAGCTACCTAAAAGCTTAGAAACAGCTAAGTTTCAGTTTAACTTTAACTTCAGTTAAGTGCCAGTGGCTCACACCTGTATCCTAGCTACCTGAGAGGCAGAAACCGGGAGGATCAAGGCTTGAAACCAGCCTGGGCTTATAGTTCATGAGACACAATCTCAAAAATACCCAATATAAAAAGGGCTAAGGAGCGGCTCAAGTACTAGAGTGCCTGCATTAGGCCCTCAACTCAAACCCTAGTGCCATGCCCTCTGCTCCCCCAAAGCCTTCTAACTTAGAAATGTTTAACCTAGGGCACTCTCTTGGGACCCCTCCCAGCTCTGGGAGTTGCACTTTTGGCTACTTTTCTATCTAAATAAACTCTCCCAATTTACTTGCAAACAAAAGAAAAGAAAAGAAATGTTTAACTTAGTATTATGCTCCCCCACCTCCCTCTCCACCCTCTCTTCTCCAACAGCACATTTGCACTAGGGCTAAATGGCACCACAACCTTATCCCAGAAGAGAATCAAAGAACAATGGCTTATTTCAGGGGGGTGGGGACTAGCTCAAGTGGTACAGCTTCTACCTACCAAGCACGAGGCCCCAAGTTCAAACCCCAGTACCACCAAATATAAATAAAACAAAAGAACAATGGGTTATTTCAAAACACATCTGTGGGCACACAGCACAACCCCCAACACACACACCCCTATAGGCACACATGTGTGCACAGACATGCATGCACACACTCAGACGTGTACACAGACACACCTGGGCACACACACAGATGCACACGCACAAATGGAACTCCATCGTGGAAACTCCACAGTGAAGACAAAGCTGCCACGAAAGTAAATATGTCTTCTTAGAAAGACAGAAAGGATGACAAAACATGACACATCTGACCTTTTCTGGCACAAGACACTGGATTTTAGGTACCACGCCATAGACTCTGGTAAGGGCATCTTTAAAATCTGAAATCTGATATTAAATAAAAGTGTATTAGATGTGTATTTCAACAGGAAAAACCTAACAGTTCTGCTTTACGCAGAGCATGATGCTCTGACATCCACAAATGAGTGTCACCCTGAGAGCTCCCTGGCTTGCAGAGAGGACTCACCATGAGGCTTAAGAACAACCCCCACCCCCAGCCACACAGAAGGAGATGCTGTCAACTGGGGCTCACCCATGACACCCTAAGTCACCAACAGCTTTCCTTTCCTGCTCCTTGCCTCTCAGCCTCCTTACTCCAGCTGTCTTACCTAAAGTACCCAGACCATTGCCAACCAATTCTACTTTGTCTTCTGTGGTACCCAAAGTCCCTATTCGCTCCTCAAATCTCCGTTCTTCCACCCCTCCTCCCACTGAAGCATGGGTTTCCCATCTATGAACTGCAGACTCAGACCTGCATGCTCCTCCATCACAGGGCAAGGAACCTCCCACCACTCCATACCACGAGTCCTTCCACCTCCCCCTTCCTCCCTGTACATCTTCCTCCCTCCCAAAATGTCTATACCCCTCAGCCTCTGTGCTCTGACTTCTACAACTGATGCTTCTCAACCCTTGCCACCTGTCCTGTCACTGCACACTCCACTCCACCGAGCCCTCACTGTGGGCTTTGGCAGCACTCACTCCCCTTCCCACCTCTGTCCCCTCTACTGCCTCATGCTGGAAGCTGCCTTCTCCACCCAGGCTGCCATCCCCATCCAGGTCTCTCCTCCTGGACCTTGCAGAGACCTCAAGTTCAAACCACCCAGACTGGATCCAACTACACTCCTTGCTGGGTCTCACATGGAGGCCTTTCCTGACTCCACACCGCTGAGTCCAGTCCTCCCATCTCTCTGAGCAGTCTCCCCAGTATCAGGCAACCAGAGTGATTCTGGAGACACAGGTCTGCCCAGAAGTACTGAAAGTGGTGCAGCTGTGGGAGGAAGTCCTCACACCATAGGTAATGCAGCTCCCACACCACCCCGCCTTCACTCCTGGGTCTTTAAGGAGGAGCTCTGCCCAGGCCCCTTCTAACTGGACACCCCTCCCCAGTGCTCAGGTATGCCGTGGAATTTCAACCACGTTGTTACTTCCCAGGAAACGTCTGGTTGGCGGCTCTCCCAGGTGTGCAAGAGCAAAGATGTGGACCACATCTTGGCAGCTGAGCGAAAAGCAGAAAACCTGCCAACAGGCCGGACTCACAAGACAGTAGAGTGGAGTCACTGCTATGTACCCCAACACCTTGCAAAGTGCTGTGCTCAGCCAACAGCTGTCCTTGCTGCCTCCATCACTGGAAATCTACTCCCCTCTGTGGCTTCAACACGAGCCCAGTCAAGGAGGGACCAGCAAGTGCTTGGCTTGTGGCTGCCTGGATGGGTCTGAATTAAGACAGCCTGGGCTCTTTCTCAAGCCCGTGAGTCCCCCACCCCTACTCTCCACAGAGGGAGGAGCAGAGATAAACAAGGAAAATGACCACCATCCACCAGACACCATTGAGAGCAAAGAACGAGATGCAAGCCATTTCACAAACTATCCAGGCCAGTTTTTACCTAGCACCATGTACGTGATGAACTCGGTGATGTTCAACCTGTTTTTAAGTCCATACCCTATAATAAACACAAAAGCCGTCTCAAAGAATCTGGTACATTTCTCAGACACACTCTGCAAGGGACCAGACGGTATGTCAGGTTTTGCAGGTGACACATCCATCTCTGCATAACCACAACAGAGCTGAAAGTCACTCGGCTCCGCCATGGTGACACAAGCAACCACAGGTAACAAGTAATGGAAGGCATGTGTCTGTAGTCCAGTAGAGTTCTGCTAAAAACCAGACAACCCAGAAATGAAAACTGCATTTTATAGATCCTTCCTGGATAACAAGATCTGATTATGCTTAAATTCCTATAGCATCTACTTTTTCACAAAAAAATACATCTATTTTTTCCTCACACATGTAATAACACTGAATGTGCTTTTCCAAGTTCATTCCACCCAGTCCCGAAAGCCCTGGAACACACACTACGAAGCAGGGGCCAAGAAGCTGTGCTTCCAAGTCACCAGCACCCTTGGTTTATGCTCACTATGCAAATGGAAACAAAGTAACACCAATTAGCGCACACAGGCTGGTGGGATGGCGTGTGTTCGGTCCCCTTAAAACCTGAGTGTGGCTCATAGGATGAGACAACCCTGCCAGAGCCCTCAGTGATGCACATTAGCAAAGAGGATAAAAAAAAAAAAAAGACTTACGTTGTAGTAATTAATGGACGGCTTGATCCCAAATTTTAGGAGCACACTAAAATTAAAAAAAAAAAATTAGCTGTATAATGAAGGTTCATTTTCCTTTTTTGTTCTTTCCAAAAATCAGAGTTCACATTAAAAAACTAAGACACTCTTAATGGAGAGAACTTTTTCCCTTTGACTTCCAGCAATAAATTCTTCAACAAGAGTTCCAAACAAGCAGCTCCAGCCCAGGCCTTCCTAGCCCTCAGCACACATGGAGGCCACCCACACACTTTCCAGAACCTGAACCCTGACACCACCCCAGGTCTTGCCACTTGCAGTGGGTCGCCCAGCGCCACCTACTGGCCACATCTGTTCTAAAAGAGAGCTGTGGACCTGTTCTGGATTCTGAGCTTATCCTAGAAAACACTCAAATATGCTTATATGTTAAATGGCATAAATCTTTGAACCTCTTCCTAAGGCACTGCCAGGGGGAGACCTGGAGTGCTGCCTAATGAACTTAATAAATTATGGAGGCACAATATAAAAACTCCCACACTGGCCGTTTGACAGGAATTCTCTATGGCCCATCAGGACTTTCTAGATCATTGTGATTGCAGGACAGAGACAAAGCCATACTTGTCTCTCTGTGTACTGACTTGGCATCAGTCTACAGCAGCACTTCTGGGACAAGCAGGAAAGAAGTGGCAGGCAAGGGTCCTCAAAACCCCAGAAATGTCTCAAATCTGGGTAAGCATGCCACTGCTGGCTCTTGTGCTGTCAGACAGTTTCTAAAGACTGTGTTCCAAACAAGTGTAAAAGATCTTCAACTTTTTTTCTTGGTAATACTGGGGTCTGAACTCAGGGCTTTGTACTTGCTAGGCAGGCACTCTGTCCTTTGAGCTGCACCTCCAGTCAAGATCAACTTTTAAAAGTATTAAAAGTTACAAAAATAATGTCTTGGAAAAACTGGGCTAAGTACAATGTTATAAAAATTATCTTCACCTATTTTTTTCCTCTTTTCCATGTGACTACTAGGAAATGTAGTGTAACATTTCTGTTTTGCTCTATTCTATTGGGCAATGCCCTCCTCCTGCAGGTGACAAGGGAAATAAGGCAGAGAGAAAGATGGGGAAACCCAGAACACAGTGGGCCATGTCTTAAGACAGTTGGGCATTAACCCCAGGTCTCACCGCTGGTGCTGGGAGAACCAGATTCTTAGGTTTGCTACCTTAATTACAAAGTGAATGCAAAATTGTTCAAAGTTTGATAACTTGTTTATATCCTATGAGAAATAGATGAACTCTAATACTGGCTTATAAAAGAAGAACAAGAGGTCTTATTTTAAATTGTGACATCTCTTAATTCAGTGAATGCTAAGAATTTTAGATTTTGCTTAGAGAAACTTGGAAAGAATACAACTTCTCTACAACTGTTCTCTGTCCTTTTCAGCAGCAGAGCATGCACTCGGAAGGCACTGTGCCACCCCAGTGAGTCTGGGGTTGCGGCTCTGCGAGCATGTAATGGCACATGCTACTGAAATTCAGAAACTGCAAACAGCAGCTAATTGGCTATGCAGATCACTTCCGAAAGAAGTCTCAGCACTCTTGGCTCATTCCTTTTCCTGTTCAAACCCCGGCTGCAGGGCTAGCTTTAACTCACACCACAGTGCAGTGTTGTGAACCAGAACTGGGATCCATATTCGAACACAGGCACCATTCTTCAGAAGGCTCCCCAGTGGGCCCTGCTTTGTCAGTCTCTCAGTAAAGAAAGCTGTCTTTTAGCACAGCTCTCCTCTGCTTCAGAAGTGTATTCTAAACATTTTTTCAGTGAATTCTCATGATGGTTTTTGGAGTGCTACTGATCTGCACTTTTTGGGTGAGGAAGTCTCATCATCCACAGGTCTGGTTCTCACTGCGAGAGAACAGCACTTCCCCTAAGAAAAGCCTACAGATTAAGTTATGGACACCTCTTCCACAGATCCAGATGCCCAGCAGCTGTCATGTGCTACTGGTTATGGAGCTCCAGTATATATTAAATAATGCAGACTTTAAGAGCCAGAAGAAACTTCAGCGTCTGAGGACGACCCATCCCTTCATTTCACATCCTAGAAACAGGATCTGTACAATAAGCAAGTGTCAGAACCAAGGGATCACAGGGCATGTGCTCTGGCAGCTGAAGGTTTTGAACTCACTTGCAGAATGCTCCAAGGCATGTCAGCCTCTCAAAGTTATTTGGCCCCTCCTGTTCTGGTCCTGGACCCACTGATTCAAATCCCAGTTGTTTTTGATCAAAATGACACAGGAGACCATCTGTGTGAGATGGTGACACATTACTGGCGGATGCTTTTGTGCCGAGGAGGCAGGGCACATGTCTAGAGAACCAATGGAGTTTACTCATCTTTCCGGCAGGTTTGATTCACGACCCTTAAATGTGGCTGATGAGCAAAGGCTCCTGGGATTATTCTATTCTGAAGGAGAGCTGCTCTGACTAACTGGAGCTGTACAAATCACAAGCAGCAATGCTGACGCTTTATTCTTTCTTTTTTATAATCAGCAGCATTTATTTCTCACATTTCTGGAGGCTGAGAAGTCTAAAATCAAGGCAGTGGCAGGTTTGGTGTCTGGTGATAGCTCATTTCTCAGACAGCCTTCTTACTGTGTCCTCATATGAAGAAGGGGTAAGCCAGCTCTCAGGAGAGCTCCAGGGCCTCTCAGTACTGAGAGGCAGCCAAAGTCTGCCCTATCCTGTGTGGTCGTAATCTGCAATGACCAGAAAGGCACCATAGGGGCTGGAGCCTTTCCTGGGAATAAGCCCAACACCCCTGTCAGAGCACCAGAACACAGGGGCTGCTGTGGGCCCCAAGGTTTGCTGACTAACCTCAAGCACCTGCAGTGAGGGGTGTACCCACCTGTTGAGGTTGACCTGCTTGTACAGATCCAAGCTCGTCCCAAAGTACTTTTTCTCAGAGTTGAGGGCATCCACCTGGGCAGCACAGGTGCCATGCTTCTCCCACTCATGCTTCCTGTGGAGACACAAGAACACTCAGGCGTGTTTTCCTAACATGACAGTCATGTACAGTGGGTATGTCGCAGACTTCATGGAATAGAATGGATACAATTCCTATTTGCACGACAGGCAATTCCTCAGATCTACAGGGCTGCAGGAACATGCAACACCCTCCAAAGAGCACTCCTCATCTCAAATCACTTCCAGCTCACCTCTGCAATCACAGCTTGCTCAACCAACAAATTATAATGAGGAAAAAGAATTGTCCAGACAGCACCAAGTCACACTGCAGTCTGTGCTCTCGTGCAGAGCAGTGCCAGGGAATTTCAGACAGTGTCACAATCCATCAGTCACTTCGATGTGAGGAGCCAAGAGAGGGCAGGATGGCTACTCACCACTCCCCATCTCGGCCTTTAAATTACTCCAGCTCATCCCTCCCATCATGGAGGACTGCAACAAACAAAGGAATCTGACCAGATACCTGCAAATGAGCTGCAATCTGTATTCCAGAAAATATGGTGGTGGTTCCTTTACAGTCACTGCAAATTAAAGTTTAGTTTTCTTCATAAACTCTACTCACACTCCAAAGTCTCCAAGTGTTTCATATTCTGCACTTGATTCTCAACTCTGCAAGGGGAAAATCTCACTGCTAGTTTGGAAGTGGGGAAACTGAAGCTCTGAGGGGCTAGGTGACTTGCTGACAGTCACAACCAGGTTGTCTCAGATCTGCACTTCAACCCCCTCCCCATCGCACAGTGCAATCACGTCAACACCTGCTGAAGGCTTTCAGAAAGTATGACAGACTCATCAGTTCAGATGTCACCACTGTTAGCAAGGGAAGCAAACAAGCATCAGGTTTCCTTAGTTTTGATTAGTGATTAATCCATAAGGGGTTTTTTTGTTTTGTTTTGGCAGTGCTGGGATTTGAACTCAGGGCTTCGATTTGCAAGGCAGGGGCTCTACTACTTGAGCCCTTTTTGCTTTGGTTATTTTTGAGATTGTGTCTTGCTTTCTGCCCAGGCTGGCAGGGACCATGATCCTACTTTACGCTCCCACTGTAGCTGGGAGTACGGGTGCAGGACACCACATCCAGCTTTTTCCCATTGAGACGGGTCTCATGAGCTTCTTATTGTTGCCCAGATCATGGGCTAGAACCATGATCCTCCCAAGCTCAGCCTTCTGAGCTTGGGATGACAGAATCCATTAAATTTTAATAAACAACATTTATGCAACAATTTACAAATATAATCTGAACATGCATTAATTCACTGGCTAAACCCAACTACTTGACCATTTCAAATAACTGCAATGAGTACAAGTCATGTGTCCCAGACCGAGGTAAACGGAATCTGAAAACAAGGATAAAAACAGATGAACAACTAGCTTTATCTACAATGGTTTCCATAGTGAACTACTTCCTAACTCTCCATGTTCTATGAACCAGAATGGGGAGAGACTTCTAAACTAACAGCAGTGTCACCTGAATTGTGGGTGACTTAGTATCTGCAAAACAGGAACAATCCTAGAACCTATTCCATAGCGTACTAAGGGGGTGGTAGGAGAGTCAAGAATTAGTTGAAGCATGCAACGTGCTTTTAGCAGTTCTAGCTCACAGCAATATTAACTACTAACACCCATAAATGTCAACTGTTACTATTTTTAGAGCAAAAGATTAACCAATAGATGCTGGAGATGAACAATATATTAAAGTATTGCTTTGCTATAGTTCAAAATATTTCATCACACAACTTTGTAATGGACATTTTTATTACCAAGTGTCAGTTACCATCCAGGGTGACTCAGCTGCCCCCTGTAACCAGATGCCCTGGCTGGCCTCTGAGAGCACAGTGGGGCACGTGGATAGATGTCCTGGGGTCTCCCTTCCACTGCCCAGAGGCTATCTATGAAGCTGCATTGCCAAACTGAATATGACCCTAATGTCCTTCCTTTTCTTATAAGAATCAGAAAACAGACTCAAAACCTCCTACTTTGTAGAGGGCCGCCTCCATGTATATTCCAAAATGGCTTGTCTCAGGGATTACCTTGAGTAATGAAGACACACTACTATGCATAACTGATTATCCTGACATGTTAGAAAGCCCTGGTCAACTGGAGCTGAGGTGAAGTCCCCAGGACGTCTCTCTGTGGAGCCATGTCTGGTGCGGACCACAGGGCCCCAGCGGCTCCATACCCACCCTGTGGCCTGGGCGCTCAAAAGTATGCATGCTAACTAGTGTGCCATCTGTATCTTTGTATTAAGAACAAACGTGGGTAAGTATGGTTTTACCATCCAACCAAACAAATGCAGTGACATTTCACCCTTCTTAAGGGCACAAAAATAAATGCATACTTTGCACCAGTACACAGAACTTCATTGTACCTTTATCTATGCTTGATGATGTATTTTAAACCTTTAGCTATAATCTGACTTCTTCCATCATAAAACAATGGAGTGGCTGGAAGACTACATTTTGTACACTTAATTACTGCTGCAGGGCGAATCTGAAATGCCTTCCAAAGTGCTGAAGACTTGGTCCCCAGCCTGTGGGACCAGATGTAGGGCCTAGTTGGAGGATCTTAGGTCACTGGGGGCGTTGAAGGGGATTTGAGGACTCTAGCCCCTTCCTGTTTCCCTTTTTTGATTCCTGACCTCCTTTGCCACATGTTCCTCCCATGATGAGCTGTGCTGCCAAACCCCCAAAGCAACAGAGCCAAGCAGCCATGGAGCAAACCCCTGAAGCCGTGAACCAAAGTAAACCTTCCCTCCTGATACTCTGATTTTCTTAGATACGCATTACAGTTCTGGAAAGCAGTCTGACGGTTACCATAGACTCATCACTGAAGTACACTGTGACATGATACAGGCTTTTTCTTTTCTCCCCACTTCAATCATTATGGACTTTGAAGCCATTTTCTAGAACACAGGCTGTCCAGAACAAGTGCTCGAAACATGAGCTATTTTCACCGAAAGCAGCTCAGCAGGTGATTTCAACCTACAGATACAGGTCCACACACCCTCCAGTAAAATGTCAAACTGAACACTATGAACCAGGAAGGGGGATAGTATTTTTATTCATTCCATTGTTTCAAAAAGCATTTTACTAAACAGTACTGTTTTGTTTATGGGACTGGGGTTTGAACTTGCAAACTATTTGCCCAAGCTGGTCTCAAACCACAGATGCTCCCAATCCCAGCCTCCTGAATAGACAGGATTACAAGCATGAGCCACGGGCACCTGGCCTAAACTCCTAAGCTTAGTAAAAACATGTCTAGGTTAAATTAATCTTTCTGGGGAAAATCTGATTAGCTGTAATCTGAGCTATACATGGGCATACTGTAGGAAGATGAAGAAAAAAAGAGACCTACTTCAGGTGATACAATGCTACTTTTATCTTCTTAGAAAAGCGAGGCTTTTAAAAGTGAGTTGAACAGAGTGCTTCTGTCCTAGGTGTGGTGCTGGCTAACCTCACAGGGGTTTAGCTTTGTGAGACAGAGGACATGGTTTCGGGTGAGAACCTCATCTTCTCCTTTCCCCAAGTCACAAGTGATATCATTATCTTGAAGCGTGTCTTCTTAAAAAGAAAAAACATATTTCAACCCAGCATGGTGGCTCACTTCAATAATCCTAACTATTTGGGAGGTAGAGATTGGGAAGATCATGGTTCAAGACTAGCTTGAGCAAAAAGTTGGGGAGACCCAATTTCAAACCAACCAAAGCTGGGAGTGACAGTGTGTGCCTGTCATCCCAACTCAGAATTATAAATAGGAAGAACATGGTCCAGGCCAGCACAAGCATGAACGCAAGACCCTATCTCAAAACACAACCAAAGCGAAAAGGGCTGGGGGAGTGGCTCAAGCAGTAGAGTGCCTGCCTGGCAAGCGTGAGGCTCTCAGTTCAAGCCCCAGTGCCACCACCAAAATAAAACAAAATAACACATTTAAGGACAGCAGCACAATTTCCTTAGGAAATAGTCTTTCCAGTCTAATTCTTACTAATTTTTAGATATGCAAATATTTGAGTTAGTTAAACTTCAGTAAAGAAAAAATTTAAAAGTAAATAATGAAAAAGCACAAAGATTAAAAAACAGGCTTATAAATTCGACCTGCTGTCATTTTTACCTGTTGTAAAAAGGCACGAGACATGGCATAACAGAGTCGTTTGTGGATAAAGCTGTTCACACGGCCCAGCGTCAGGAACTGGGTTCTCCTGTCTGTTTTATGGGCCTGCACCCCGCTTCCATTAGAGCGCACAGTCAGACGCTCCGCACACCCATTTCAAGACGCATGATGGCTGTCAGAAACTCAGACTCACCAGAACTGGCTGCGATTAGAAGAGGGATGAATTACATCAGGCCAGTAAATCTTCATGTCTTGCAACAGATCCTACGCATAATTAAAAAGAAAAGTCTATGCAGAAGTACAAGATATTCACACGCAAAACCCAATCAACAATGAACAGACACTTAAACAATGAAGATCAGGAAGGTAAAACAGGTCACGTTAAGAGGAGGGTGACAGCAGAAGGGGGAGGGTAAATGAAGAGGGCAAAGGAGGTGAAGGTAGTCAATGCAGAAAGAACATTGTGTGAATATGGAACACTGAAACCTGTCCAAGTCATTTTAAGAAGAGGGAGGAAAAGAGGGAGATCAAGGAGGGATGAGCCAAACTGGGATACATTGTATGTATATATGGAAATGTCACAATGAAACCCCCTGTACAACTATTATATACTAATAAAAACATTTTTTAAAGTCTTTGTAAGACCTAACACATTCAAAACCCAATACACTAACATACTTCAAAATTCAAGCTCTACTCATTAGCTTTTTTTTTTTTTGGCAATACTGGGGTTTGAACTCAGGATCTCACACTTGTTTGGCAGGTGCTCTACCACTTGAACCATTCCACCAGTCCTCTACTAGTTAACTTTAAGGTAAGTAAAATGATTCTGTGCTAATTCTGCATGCCATTCTTCAAATACATGTAGAAGTGGAGTCTGAGTAATCATGTAACTCATGAAAATACAAGCTCTCAGAATGAATGTCTGAACAAACTGTGGCACACAGAGATGATGGAATACTACTCAACACTAAAAAGAAACACATGAAGGAAACTTAAATGCATACTGATAAGTGAAAAGGCAAAACCTTACGAGACACAATGCAATCAACAGTTGCCAGGGCTTACTGGTGGAAAAGCAGAGACGGGGTCACGGGACTATTAGATAAGTGAAACCACTCCATGTGACATTTGTCCTTGTGACTTGTAAAAATTTGTTAAACTGAGGGCTAGAGGCATGGCTCAAATGGTAGAGCACCTGCCTATCAAGCAGGAGGCCCTGAGTTCAAACCCCAGTACCACCAAAAACAAAATCTCATTAAACTGTACCATACAAGGAGTGGCCTCTAATTCCAACCATAAACTTCAGTCTTGGTTCATCAGTTGTGACAAACATGCTGATGGAAGAGTGTGTACCCTGTACTTTCCATCCAATTTTTCTGTAAACCAAAACCTGCTCTAAAAATAATGCCTATAACACACAAGGACACACGCCCTCACTTTCAACAGAAGTGCTTGCTTGACCGGGTACCAGCACCCTCCTGTACTGACCAAAAGGTCACATGGTCACACTACATACAACAGGGCTTGAGTTTCACTTCCCTACTTCCATATGACCATCAGAACAAAAGAAAAGCTTGTTTTCAGTGAGAAAGTTTACAAACTTAGGATAAACCTCCCTGTTTCCTGTTTCCCACCACTCCCGTGACTGTCCTTCTGTCAATGCACCTGTGTGGCCTCCCTGCCTGTGTAGACACAGCCCTGCTGCCTCCTTCCTGTAGGACTTATCTCACATCCTTGCCTTGGTCACATGCTACATGCTCAATCTGGGTTCAGCCCAGACTGGGGATGACCAAGAGTGACAATGTAACTTACTGCCCAAACTAGGCCACTTTTGTGTGGACCAAATGCAAAGTTTACATGAGATTATACAAGTAAACCAGGACTGATCTGAATGAGCAGCGTCTTGGCTATCAAAAACCCTCAAGTCCCTCATGGCAGAAGCATTTCAGCCTTTTTATGGACCCCAGGAGACCTAGTCCAGGATACTTTATCTTCCTCTCTTGTTATGACTCCATTTTCACAGGTCCCTTTTCTATTTTGCTTTAAAACAGCAGCTCCTCAGGCCTGCCCCTGCTCCCCTACACCACACCTGTCAGGCCTGCCCAGTTCTCTCCCTACCCATCAACCTGACATATGGCTGACCCTAAGGAAAGATAAGCGTGTGTGGAAGCTTGTATATTCCATATGAATTGAGGTTATCTCAAAAGAGCATTTTTGCTACTTCTTGTAAGCTTATGCCTTTTTATTTCTATGACTTAAGAATCTTGTGATTTTTTTTTTTTCTTACAGTGCTGGAGATCCAACCCAGGTTACTGTGCATGCTAGGCAAGTGCTTTACCACTGAGCCCCACCCCAACCCTATGACGTACTCTTTTCTTCAGTCTAACACTCTCCCGACTGAGCTATTTCAGCAGGGTGACTTACTCTTTTAACAGGAGCATTTGGACTGGAAGTCTCATCATTTCCTCCTTGATATATCCTTACTTAGAAATACGCACCACCCATGACCAGAAAGGCCGACCCTAGGTGCATACAAGTTGCCTACCCTATGGATATAACTGTCTAAAAGCCTCACCATACACCATGTGGACCAGTCACCCACTTTCAGTACTGACCCAGGAGCCTGGAGGCTAGCAAGAGAGAACTGGGGTCTGCACCCAGAGCAGGGTTTGTCTCTCTGAGCTCAACATGCAGTGGTGTGGACCCAGGACAGAGGAGGAGAAAGTCCAGTTTTTATTTAACTTATGGGTTTGTTTGTTTCTAAAACAGTCCCAGAGGCTCGATCCTAGTGAATACATTCATGACCCTGTAATTGTAAGCATGACTTTGAAGAAAAGTTAAAGTAGCTTAACACTCTATAGCAACAGAAATAATTAAAAGTTAATACCTTTATCTCATCTAAATTGAAGTGCCATGATCGATTACATTCTTCTGCTTTATCAGGCCTTGAAATACAAATTCAAAAAAATAAATATTAGTCTTGGTTAGGATGGCTTCTGCATGGCAGTAGAATGCATTTTCATTAAAATCTGTAGGGAATAAAAAGAGAAACTCTAACAGGGAACTCCTCACCCCACACAAAGGCATTCTTAACAAAGGATGCTTGGATACAAGCAGCCATGGTCTGAGTCTCTTTTGAAGAGGAAATAAATTGTGTTAAAATGTTCAGGAATGATACAATCAGGCTAGCTCTGCAGCAGAAGCATAATAAATAACCCAGTAGGGGAGCTCGGCCCAACCTCAGCTTTTCTCTACCAGGAGGATCCGGGTGTCTGACCTGGACCACACTCACTCTGCACATAGATCAGAGCTTGCCTGTGCACATGGCAATGAATGTGCAGTGAGAGAACATGCACAGCTGACATGCTCAGGGGGCACAGCCCAGGATAACGCCAACTACCATGACCTGCTTTTATGTTTTCCAGCAAGCACGTTCAGACTATCTGCTTTTGAATTTTATTCTGCCCCTCCATGTCTGACTCTTGTTCTTCAGGATGCTCAGTTGGTGAGCTCACCACACTACTTTCTAAGAGCCCCACACACGCCAGGAAGCCATAGGTTTGCACTATGGCTTTGGCATCAAGAGGCCATCCAGCAGCTGAAAACAGCACAGCTTCACCCTAGGGAGGAGAGAAATGCCACGGAGATTCTCATCCCAACTTGGGAAAGGAAGGCCACCACGTGTGACACAGCCAGAGCTTGAGAAGACAGCGGCAGGCAGCAAGGAGAACATGAGAAAGGAAAAGGCTGATGTGTGGGTCACCCAAAGGACCTGGGGAAAAAGGGGAACTCGAATCCTGTGGCCCTGGGCCCATGTGTTTCCTACTAACTCCATTCTCAAGGGACAAGAAAATGCCAACAAGAGCCAGTGGAGCAGCCAGGAAAAACCAGATCCTTCCAGGGGAAAAAGGAATGTGCACAATTCAATACCACAAGTACATACACAAGTAAGAATTACCTAAAGAAAATACAGCTAAAACCAAGAAATCAATCTTTCTCCCTCCCTCTCTTTCCCTTTTCTCTCTCTATAAAACATGTTATATATGATATATGTATATCATGATATATAATATATAGGTAATTAATTTATTTTTATGCATTTACTTATAATGGGCCCCAAAGAGAGAACCTATGAAAATTGAAAGTTAGTGATCCTAAAATGTACCCAGAATCACTAAACACAAATTTAAACTAGATTAGTCTATCAAAACAGAACTAAACAACAAAATTAGAGTTATGGTAGACTAAAAATATTTTTATATAAGGATCAGGTCTACTGCATAAATTCCTAACAAAAATGACAAGTATAATTAGGACTAGACTCAAGCTAGAACTTCAAGTTAGCTAGCTTCTCCTGACTCTTCTGTTAGGTTTAAAACATCAGGGGTTTACCATAGTCCATGTATTGTCCAGTAATCCAGAGAGTCACGACAGCTGTTAACTTCCTGAAGAGAAAAGACATAAAGAAGGTAATTGGTTCATCATTCAAATACATTTAGCACTCCTACTTTCTTTCCAAATGTCAACTAGATATAAGTAATTACTGAAACAAGGTAAATCCAGTATTAATCTACAATAAATTCATCCAGCCACATGCTCATGAGGAAAGTACACAGGAGCTAGGCATTCAGACCAGCCTTGAACAACTTAGTTGGCAGAAATAAGCAGCTATTTTTGTTTTTAAGTGCTGACAAATTATGTCAATGGAAATACATTCACTAATAAAAATCTGCATGTCATATATTCATAAATAAATGTTTGAGAATTAAGGCATTGATAATACTGTGACACTCAAACTTCTTCCAGTACCAGGTCCAAACACGTTAGTGAAGAAGTACTGAAAACTTGAAGCTGACAAAAATAGCAAGGTGAAAATAAAAACCAGAGATAAAAGTTTCAGTGTAACAAAAACTTTTTAGGGAACTTCAAATGGTTTAGTTAAGATAAAGTGCTTGCACAATGAACAATCAAATACATGTGAGCTATCAGCCTGGATAAAGCAGAACTCGGGTTCAGTCCCCCACAGTGACTAAGACAATAAAGAGCACAAGTCTGGGCCCGTTACAACAGCCTAGGTGTCATGCTGACTCCTGCTGTATAAGGCCCCTTGTGGGGAGGCAGCAGCTTCATCCTCACTGCTGCTCTGGAGGTGAGGAGGGTCTGGCTCAGGAGACCTGCACACCTGGTGAGAGATGCCTGCTACACAAGGACTGTGCCACAGTGCAAGACTGAAGTGACAGAAACCATGTCTTTCACCTCGACCAACACCCCAACTCCGTCCCTAAGGAAACCAACCACGTCCTTCAGGTGCACAGCTCATAAGAAGCAATGGCTACATCCAACATAAGTCTTTGCTGAGTTCCATGACCAGGTAGGTCTCTGTGCCTGCCCTGATGGAAGTAACCTAGTCAATGGGCAGCTTCCTTTCATTCAGTCAGCAAACACTCACCATCTCTCATGGTGCCTCTGCCACTAAGGGGCTGCATGGAGTACTAAGGACATGGGGAGACCACAACTTGTGTGTCCCAGCATCTGTCATATACATCTTAAAATGGGAAAAACCAAAGACAGCTTTTGCTGCCTGCCAGAGGATGACAGACTGAGTTACCCATCATGGCCGCCTGTTTGAAATAAATGGCCTAACAGTGACATTTCATAATCTTTGATGGCTTTTCTTTTTTAAATCTCATCTCTAAAGTCTCGAAGCAAGAAGGCAGTTGGGTGCATGTTCACATTCAACTAGGGGGCACCCCACACTTCCTCAGACAGGCCAGTCCAGCCTGGTCCACGTCCCGGGGCAGATCCCCTAATGGTGGCCTGGGCCACAACTCTTCCTCCACATACTGGCCCTGCAGTAGGAGCAAGGACTTGAGCAAGCCCTCAGCTCCTGGGACTACTAAAGGTCATGCCCGCACCTTCGTCCATCCCTACGCCAGGGGGAAGAAGTGCGTTAGAAGAGACATGTTTGGAGAATGGAAACCACAGCAGCCCAGTGTAATCATGGTGGTGCTGGGGCAGGTGAGCTTCCACGTGGAAAGTGAGATTTGGTGAGGATAACTAGAGAAACTTCGATTTCATTTGTCAACAGAAACACCAATCAGTGAGGAAGTGGGAAAGAAGGCCCTCAGTCACTGCTCTGTGTTGAAGGTCAAACCAAAGGCTGAGTGCTCCTAACCCAGAGGGAGGCCATCAAGATTCACAGCAGTTAGTGGATACCTCCCTCTTGTTTAATTAAGAGGCCTCAAAATTTAAACTCAAGCCAAAATTTCAGAAACGCTATCAGTAGACCAAGTGCCAGCTCAGCAATGTGGTGAAACACTGCAGATAACCAAGGAGTGAACACCAGGGGGTTTGCAAGGTGCCTATGAGAAGGAAGAGCCAGAGCAGGGACTGTGGGAGCGGGGCTCCCCAGCAGATGGTGCCCTAATGATAAAGCCTCAGCTCTTCCGACACCATAGAACAGGTGGCACAAAGCAAGACAGAGCCAGGGACAGAGAGCGGTCATGCTACAGACAGCAAAGGAGATCTGCTCTCTTCTGCTCCCAGGAGACATTTTAATAAGACATCCCAACAACATACAGGGAATTGACAAGTCCCCAGAAAAACTATATCCCTGTCCCAGCCCTCCTACCTAACAACATGACCTTGTTTGGAAATGGGCCTAGGTACATGAGATCAAGATAAGATGAGGCCATGCTGGATTAGGGTGGGCCCTGAGTCTAACCACTGGTGGCCCAGAAACCATACAATGTGAAGGAGGCAGACACGGGGGTGATGCCAAGGACTGCCAACTGCTACTAGGAGCTAAGTCAGAGGCTGGAACAAAACCTCCTCTGAAGCCTGCAGAAGGAACCAACCCAACTCATGCCTTGACTTCAGACTCCCAGCTTCCAGAACTGAGGAGAGAATATTTCTGATGCTCTACACTGCCCCCTTGTGACATTGTTACAGTGCCCTAGGAAACGAACCAGAGGCCCCCGCTGGGCAATGGCCACCTTTCAGGAGGCACAACCACTCCAACCTCCACCAGGGGGCAGAGCAAGGAGGCTGAAAGTTTGGTCGGTTGGTCAGTCAGTCAGTCAGTCAGCAGCACTGGAGGCGGGCATGAGTGCAAATAAACCAACTCTTCATAGGACTGCACTGGATTGAAGAGGCCAAGTGAGGCAGAACTCACCTTGCATACTGTTGGAGGCCAGTGCTGGGTCAAAATGAGTTTTTTCCACTCATGGTTACCACTGTTTAAAGATAAGAAATGTAGTTTTCAGAAACTTTTAGAAGTTATCCAAAAAAAAAATTAATTCATCTATCCATTCATTCAACACTGAGCTCCTATGGGAGTAGGGATGTGCCAGGAACAAAGTCCCTACCTCCCAAGTGCATGTTCCAGAGAAGAAGGCAATGAACACTGAACTGTGAAGCACACAGGTGGCCTGCACGGTAAGTAGCAAATATAAATACCAGCAGAAAAGGACAGGCAGGTCGGGTGCAGCCAGGAAAGACCCGGCTGAGGAAAGCCAGTGATCCAAAAAGCACTGGATGCTCGAGCAGTTTAGGAATACAGAGTCGTGACCCCTGTGCTGCATCTGTGAACCCACATGTCCTGAATACTGATGTCTTTTGTAATTCATGTGGTATCAAAACGTGACCTGAACTAGCCTACCACTATTGTCGTTATCAGTGTGTCTAGATTTACTTACTCAGTACCTGTGCAGAATCAGTGACATGTCTAGGTTGCTACTTCAGAGGCCACCAGGGCTATTATAGAGAGCACAGCCTGGGCACAGTGCCTGGCCACACGTGGAACGTGAAACACTGCCTATGGCACAATCTGAAAACTACTCATCTGACTCTGAGACCTCACAGTGGACTAAAGGAGCTGGAGCTTATCTACACGCACAGCTCTTCAGAGGAGGCCTCTATGGCTTGGATGTGGCTCCCAAAGATTCCTGTGATGGAGGCTTGGTCCCAAGGTAGCAGTGTTGGGAAGGAGTGACCTGTAAGAGGTAGGGCCAAGTGGGGGATCCTTTGGTAACTGGAGTACATCCTTGGAAAGGACTGTGCTGGACCCTGGCCAGTTCTCCCGAGGAGGGCTGTAATAGAAGCCTGGACCTGGCCCAACACAGTCTGTCTGGATTCCTGTCTAGCAATGTGATCTCTCCTGCACACACTCCTGCCATGATACCATGGGGTCCTCACAACAGCTGAGCTGACGCTGGCTCCATGTCTTAGGTCCTCTAGAACTGAGAGCTAAATAAGCCTCTTTTCTTGGTAAGTAGTCTACCTCAGGTACTTCACTAAGGTAACAACAACAAAAAGGTTTACTATAAGGCCTCTAATCATATTTACAAGGCGTAACATACAAAGGCATCAAAGTAGAAAGGGCAGCTGGCAAAAACTCCATAAATGAATACTTGGCAGTCAAGCCGACAATTAATTGAGCATAAATTACATTTTAGAGGAGATTTTCATTTAAACTTTTTCAGTATTTCAAAGTGAACTAGCTCATGTTATGTATTAACTTTTAGAAATAACTGAATATTGTTGAATAAGAATAGAATTAGCAATTAAGAAGATATGACACCTGGACATAGTGGCTCTCAGTTTGAGGCAAAAATTTATCAAGACCCCATCTCAACAAAGGACTAGAGGTGTGGCTCAAGCTAGAGTGCCTGCTTTGCAAATGTGAAGCACAGTTCACACTCAGTGCCACAAAAAACAAACAAGTTGAGTGCACTTGTAATCCCAGCTACTTGGGAGACAACATAAGTAGGCCTGGATCTTGGTCCAGGCCTGCCAGGAAGGAAAGAAAAAAAAAACACCAAGGGACCCTACCTGAAAAATAACTAAAGCAAAAAGGGCCGAGGGTGTGGCTCAAGTGGTAAAGCTCCTGAATAGAAAGCGTGAGATCCTGAGTTGAATCCCAGAACCACCAAAAAGAGAACAGAAAAAGATTAAGAAACTATGAAAACTCCGTTATAAATCTGAATAACGCAGGCCCTCCCTATAAAAGGAAAAAAAGAGATGAACTGCACTGTGAGCACTGAACGGGACAAGTGTTAGAGACCCATCGCTCCCACCCCTCTGGTGCAAAACAAACCTTACTCAAACACGTGGAAACTGGGGCTGGACGATGAAGCAAAGCCGCTAAGGGGAGACCCACTCAGAGGGGACCCTCCCAGTCCAGTTAGTACTCGGGGAAATGCCCGGAGCCTCCAACTCTGTGCCTAACAAGCCGGGACGACTGGACCCGCAGCCTGCAGCCTGAGGACCTCCGCGGCATTCCTGGGTCACTCAGCTCCCGGCCCCTCGCTGTTCCTGAGCGGCTCTGCCGGGCGGGCTGAGGGTCACGGTCGGGGATGGGCCACGGGGGTCCGCACGCGGCCAGCACCGCCCGCCTGCACCCAGCGACAGGCTCCTAAAACCCACGATCTTCAGCAACGGTGCACCACACCGTTCCTCTGAAGGCCCCACGACTTCAACGTGTGTCACGTTCAGCCCTTTCTACTACCCGACCAAACCCACACAGCCCGCCAAAGACCAAAATCTGCATCCCAGTGGTGGTCCAGCCCGCAGAGTTCAAGTCGGGGCCATCCGCGACACCCCGTGACCCCTAGTGGCCTCACCGGACGCCGCCGCAGAGGAGGGGCCGGCGGCCCTACAAAGAGGAAGCAGGGCTTCCCGCAGCCTAGCGCGGCCCCCCGCCCGCCGGGCGCCCCGCTCACCTCCACAGCGGGCCCGCGCCGCACAGGCAGCACAGCGCCAGCGCCCAGCACAGCGCGGGGCCCCAGCGCGCCGGGCCGCGTCCCGGGGACGCCATGGTGCGCGCGGCTCGGCAGCCGGCGCTCCGCGGCTCCCACGGCCGCCCGCGCCCCGCCACGGGCCCGCAACCCGCCTCCGCCGACCCGCGCCGCCGCTGCGCACCGCAACCCCCGCCCCGGGCCCGAGAGCCGCCTGCCGCGGCCACCGCTCCGTGCGCTTCCGCCCGGCCAGCCGAGCCCCGCCAGTAACCCGGGCCGCCGGACACGCCCCCAACCCACGCCCCCAATCCACGCTCGGGCCTACCGGAAAAACACGCCCCCTAATCCACGCCCCTCGCTGCCCGGCGGACACGCCCCCGACACCCCGCGCCACGCCCCCAGTGCACGCTTGACGTGCCCGACGGACACGCCCCCCGGTCCATGCCCCTCCAATCAACGCCAGGCTCCACGCTGCGACAGGACACGCCCCCCGATCCATGCCCCTCCAATCAACGCCAGACTCCACGCTCCGACAGGACACGCCCCCAATCCGCCCCCCGGCGCCCCGGCGCCACGCCCCCGACCCGGAGGGCAAGAGCGGTGTCGTCCCGCAAGGACGCCACCAGGGATGCCAAACGACATCCCACACCCAACACCACCTGGTAGAGCAACTCCGCGGCTCCGCCCGCGCCCGGAGTCCTGCCTTCTGGGGGACAGCCCCGCCTCCACCCCGGCAAAGTGGCCGTGCGCCCAGCCTCCAGACTTGAGCTCCGCAGCGTCCCCTTGTCGGTTCTGCTGCCCGGGCTGACCTGGCGGATTCCAGACACATCCTTGTTGCAAAGCAGCGTTCGGTCCCGGGGGATCCCCGCAGCCCGGGACATCTCCAGCCCGGAAACCGGACAGGGTCTGATCAGTCACATCCTGGAAATTCGTGGGTCTTTGGATGAGCAAGCCTAGCATACCCTGGTCCTCCTCGCCCAGCTCTGTGACCTGTCTCCGTGTCCCCAGGACCCCAAGAACTGGGAAGGAGCATCCGTGCACTCAGCAAAATGCCCTCGGGGACAAGGAGCTAAGCGACTCCTCCGGGGGAGCGACAGGAAGGAGTGTGAGTGAATGTGTGTGAGTGTGCGCTCACATGGGAAGGGGGCCCGGCCTAACCCCTTCCCCACCCGACCTGGGCACAGCCAGGCCCACAGGCGACTAGAGCCTCCCCACAAGCTCTGCCTTCCTGTTTCCCACCCACAGGACTTTGCAGGGCCATTTCTCTGTAGAGGTGCTCCTTGCACCCCCATACCTTTGTCACACCTGCACCTGGCTTATGGCCATTGGTAGGTAGGCTTCCTCAGTGTCCTCCTGTGTAGCTCAGATGGCCAGTGATATTCTCCTCCTGGCCTGGACATCGCTGGACTAGCACCACTGCTTGAAATAAAGTATCACCTGCTTGTTCACACATTATCTGTCACACATTATTGTCTGCAAATTGAGGCCCAAGTCTATTTTGCTCACCACTGCAGCCCACCATGTGGCACAGGGCTGGCACCAGTAGATGCTAACCAGACCTCTGCTCCTCCCTGACTTTCTACCTGCCCTTTCCTCTAACTCAACAACTTCCTCTGAATAATACAGACACACCCCACAGGTCTGTCCTCTTCCTTCTCTTTCTTTTAAACTAAAAATATCTATTTTAAACATGAAAATCCTATTTCTCCCTTAAACCATTGTCCCGTCTTTAGATATCTTCTCAGAGACCTGTTTTGACCACTACCAAACAAAAGCCAAATTCAATGTCATGGGAAGAGCAGTTGTGAGAAAGGGCTATTGCAGAAGGTTGGTGGTCTACTGTGCCGGGGGAGGGAACAAAAGCAATATTGTACACAAACTTCAGGGCTAGGTACAAAGGAGTTTCTGTATAGAGAGGAGCAGAAAAAGCTGGGTTGGGGTGATTTTGTGAGTCAGTGGATCAGAGAAGCTGTGCCTAAGGCTGGCCTCTTCTCAGGAGGTGCCACTCCCCAGCTAAGGTGAGCCAGCACTCAGCCACCTGGGGAAAGAAGCTTAGTCAAGTGTTTAACTAGCATTCTGTTGACTTGCTCAGAGGGCACTGCCTAAAATGCATGATTCTTCAAGGTCCCAGAGAAAAAATGTAATTAAACTTCCCAATTCTTAACAGCCTCTGTTAGGCTCAAAATAGCCCACCAAGATCATGGCACATCACATGAAGTTTTTGCGTCTCCCACCACCGTAAGGTGGCTTCCCAGTAAACAGTTCCTGAAACAATAGATTTTTACTTAACAGAACAGAGAACCAGACCTGTAAACCATACCCTAGTAGTCAGATGGACCCAATAATAATGTGCACATTGTAAATCTATAGACCTACCCTGCCTGTGGCTCTAACTGTGCTTTCAGCCTCCTGGGCTGCTCCTGGGGAGGGACTTAAGGCTCCAAGCCCTGTCCACTTCAATAAAAACTTGGGCTGGAGTTAAAATAATTGTTGTTCTTCACCTCTCTTTCTGAAGTGACCCACTCTCACCTCTGAAAGTGTCCCTGTTCTAACAAATTTCACTATAATACTGTCATCCTCACCATAGAGATGGATGACTCTCTTTCACTCTGTTGAAAGTGTATTCCCTTCCTAATAAACTTTGTATCACTTTCACTCCATTTCCATATCTTGCCTGAATTCTTCCCCACTCCAAAATCATGATAGCTACACTGATCTTCCAGTAACAGAGTGTGATTTGCAGCATAGGTGACTGGCTTTGTTTTAGGGTACAAGGGGGGAAGAAAGAGAACACCCATGCCTCTTATCTATGTCACATGGGGAGGGGGGCATCCCTTACAACGAGCCATTTTCCAGAACCCAAAGACTAAGGGGTGTGTGTGTGTGTGTGTGTGTGTGTGTGTGTGTGTGTGTTTTCAACCTCTGCTGTTGTCAGGGGTCTCAGACTCAGATAAAATTCAGCATTTTCTCCCCACAATATCAAGGAGCTGAAACTGGGAGTTTTATGCCAGAGTCCCAACTCCAGAGATCCCAACATGTCAGGTCCAGCCACTCACCCCAAAACACCAGATAAAGAGACGAGTAGTGGTGGAAAGCATAGAAAGGAGCTTTATTAAGCAGCATGGGCATGCAGCAGGAAGTCACAAAGTAATCTCTTTCGCCCATCTTTGGTTACAGTCACGAGCTTTGGGTTTAAATGGAGGAAGAACAGGGGCAGGAGGTGACAAGTATGTATACCTAGTTGTTAAATAGTCAAGTCAAGGGTGTGGTCTGGTAGTCAGATATGTGGTTGGTTGATCTTTATCTCAGGATTGGTCATGATAAGAAAGCCATTGTTGCCCATGGGGTAGTTTGACTCTTATCATAAGGTGTTATCCATCAGTCCTGTCCTTCCTGGATCCCAAGGTGACAGCAGAGAGAAGAACTCAAAGCAAAGACATGTAGAATGGTGGTAGAGAGGTTGATGCTACTCCAGTTAACTTGGGGCCCAAATAAGGAACCAGTGCTTTTTAGCAAAAGCAATTTTTAAGTATTTTTTTAGAGCCACCCGATTACTTCCTGTTGCATGGCCTCGCCTGGTCTCAGCCTAGCCGTCTCTCCCCTTCATACTATCTTCTCATGTACTGCTCTCCCCTCCCCTTCAAGTTCACTGACTGAAGCAAATGAGAAGTCACCTTCAGGCTCTTCATTTGCATGGGCCCTTTCGAGAATCTGCCTCATTTTGTATTCAAAATTTTACATTTGTGTTTTTAAAGAGAAGCCTCCAAATTGTACAAACTTTCAATCCCCATATCCTGGGTATTGTTACATGCCAGTGTGAAATGTTGTGGGCCAGTGTTGAGGGTCCTTGCCTTCATAGGCCTGGCAAGAACTGGCCCATGAGGGGGCTGATTGACTTGTGAGCCAAAGCTGTCTATGAAGTCGGATGTGTTGGAGAAAAAGGAAAGGCTGCAGCTAGAGCAGTGCAGCAGAGCCGTGGCTTCATGCTCAGGTGAAGGCTGAGGCTTTTATGGATGTTTTAACTCTGGGTTTGGGTAAGGGTTGGGTGTGCCCTTCTCATCAGCCATAGATTTGCAGGCTCTCTTAGAGGAGCTGGTATGTTTGCCCCTTATTAGGGGTAGGGACAATCTTGAGAGCATTTTTTTTCATCAGCCCTGTGGCAGATCTATGAGCCTCTGCATCTCCACTTCGGGATGCAGATTCACACCTCCTTCTCAGGATGCAGAAATCATAGTGCTGTCTATGGGGGAGAGCCCTTTAGGTCTCCAGACCCAACAGTATGAACCTGGAAACTCTGTCCATAGTGTCCACCTAGCAAGATCCTCAACAGATCCCTGTGCAAAATGGGTGTTCAGAAAATATTTGTGTCATAAAGTTGGAGGAGGACAGAAGAGGGGCATTGAGGCAGTCTGGATAAAGGACCTGGAGGCTGACCAGCTTCCCCAGGAGCCCAGGCATCAGGGACCAGGGTGGCAATTTTAGTGGTTCCCACAAACACAGTGTAAGAGGACACAAATTATGAAGTTTAAGAGATGACATGAGTTAGGGATGTAGCTCAATGGCAGTCCTTATGAAGGACTAAAGGACAGACTGCAGGAGGTCCCAAAAGGTGATAAGTGGTCAAGGAGACACTTGACCACTCCCTCCCAGGAAACCTCTGTCTGCACCTGAGAGACATCTCTGCCCCCAGGCAATACAAAAAAGGCTATAAAACCCCGCTCCCCACCCTGACCCACAGGATCACCAGTTTCTGGGTCCCCCTGCATTCCCCAAAATGTGGTCTTTCTCTTCTCTTTTCTAAAACTAAATTCTCTACAAATAAAATCTTTGTGACCTCTGCTGTTGGAGTCCATCTGTGCTTTCATTCTCAGAGAGGGCTCAAGAACCCTGAGCACCTGAAATTCCTGTCTGTGTCATCTGTGCATCATATTTGGCGATGCACAAAGGGACCAGCCATCACCTGAGGTCGGTATAGGTTGTGCCAAACTGGGAAAGACTGCCTAGGAATGTGACCACGAGCATCCAGCACTCCGGTGGAGTCTATTTTCCAGGAGACCCCCCCACCACGGCCTAGCTATGGTAGAACTCTCAGGTCAACCTTTTTTCTCTCTCTCTCTGTCTGGTTAAGGAGGGTTTCTCCCTTGGGAAACTGAGGAAAAGCTCCAAGCCCACTACAGCTGTACAGCAGGCAATCTGAGGACACTCGGACGCCAGATGGGGGTTATACCATACTGCCAATGCCACATGGGTGAAGCCTGACTTCC